GGTCAGCGTAAAATGTGGTCTCTCAGGTTCATTACCTGAAAAGTGTGTGGTGGGCGTGTAAGCTCTCAGAGAATATATTGAGAGTAGTGGAAGGTAGAGGGTTTGGGAGGGAGGGAGGGTGAGAGGTCGGAGAGGAGGGAGGGAAGGTGAGAGGAATGGAGGGAAACAAAGTGAGGGAGGAAATAATCCACAGCAACAGAAAATATCACTTCCTAGTTTGAGTGTGTGTGTGAAGTGTTAAGGCGTGAATGTCAGTAAACAACGCTAGATACACAGGTACAAAACTCGTAGAGACACGCGAGCGTATACACGAGAAGCCCCTTACGAACTAAACCTAGCGCCACTGAAGCAGAGTAGAAGGGAGACATGATCATTATATACAAAATACTTTGAGCAAACGACAAATCCGACAAGTCCCGACTGCTTGACAGACAGATGCACACACACAAGGGAACAGGGGGATGGTGGGAACATTTGTATAATAACACCAGCAGCATTTAAAAAGCTGGTCTGAGCTTGGATACATCTCAGAAAGTTGGATAGATGAGGACCCGGATTCACGAAGCAGTTACGCAAACACTTACGAACCTGTAGATCTTTTCTCGATCTTTAGTGGCTTTGTTTACAATTATTAAACAGTTAATGAGCTCCGAAGCACCAGGAGGCTGTTTATAACAATAACAACAGTTGATTGGCAAGTTTTCATGCTTGTAAACTGTTTAATAAATGTAACCAAAGCCATCAAAGATTGAGGAAAGATGTACACGTTCGTAAGTACTTGCGTAACTGCTTCGTGAATCCCGGTCCAGGTGTCCAAGAACTGCACGCAGACTGAGGCCTGCACTCCAGTATGCAGTCACGGCATGTAACCCGCCTTAAACAAATACAAATAACAGCCATATGTTGACCAGACCACACACTAGAAGGTGAAGGGACGACGACGTTTCGGTCCGTCCTGGATCATTCTCAAGTCGATGGTCCAGGACGATTGATCGACTTGAGAATGGTCCAGGACGGACCGAAACGTCGTCGTCCCTTCACCTTCTAGTGTGTGGTCTGGTCAACTTTAGCCACGTTATTGTGACTCCTCGCCTGCACACAACCATTCACCTGTTTAGATAGTAGTTTTATTGAACTATGTCCACCATAGTACAAAGATTGGCGTACTAAGCAACTAGATGGTACAACTTTGTACCATTCACTTTATAAAGTTGGAAAAATGAAGCAAAAAAAAAAAAACTTAAATATTCCTAGGCCTAGTATAGCACACACATGAACTATATTAGGCCTCAGATAGCCTGTATTAGGCCTAGAAAGATTAGAATAGTTTGGGTTGTCTTTGCAACATAAATAGAAAATAGTTCTCCGGTGTGTCTAAATTCAACAGTACCGATTTCAACTTTGTAATTTCGGTGTATGTCGGTATATGTACTATGGTCGTCATCGTGACTATAACTACTACCACAACAGAAGGATGGACTGAAATAATAATAAATCCAACCAATATGTATGAAGACTTGTCCCTGAGCTGAGGAAGACTGAGGTGACCTGGACCTCACCACATTAGAGGGAACATGTTAACCACATACAAGATTATGCATGAAATTGACCATTTAGACGAAGAATGCATTTCTATAAAGAGAATAACAGCCGGTCCCTGAAGGACGACTGGGAAGTGGTCGTTAACTGGTGGTCGCGATCGTCCCAGGATTGTTCTATGACCTGTGTTAACTGGTTCACACCCTGAGCAGTGCTTAAATTGTTATGTGGGAGAAGGAGAAGTTCTAAACTAATCTGACACACACAGAGATCACACTAACGTGATGCATCAAATGAAGGCAGGTTCAGGTTAAGGCAGTGTCTGGGATGCTCCCGGACGCAGGTTCGAGTCCTCGTCACGGCCCTTGTGGATTTGTTCATCTAAACTAATCTGCTTGCCACACTCCCCTTCAACACCCATCCACGCCCCCCCCCCTACACCCCCCCCAACCCACCCCCCCACACCCCCCTCCACGCCCTCTCGCACCCCCCACCCCCACTCCACGCCCCCCTACACCCCTCCACGCCCCCCCCCCTACACCCCTCCACGCCCCCACGCCCCCCACCATAAACAAAACACCACTTCCCCTTCAGGGTACATTGTAATTCCAGGTGATAGAGGCAGCCTGGTGGCTATGACCCACCAGGCTATTACCGCGCCTCATTCTCTCTTTCTTTATGCATGGGTTCCGCACCTCCATCATCACGCCCCCAACCCCCACCCCCCCAAAAAAAAATATATATATATACGCACATACACATATACATACACGTTTTTATCAGAATAGCCCACTTTTGGTTATACTTAACCTACTTTTGGTTATACTTAACCTACTTTTGGTTATACTTAACCTACTTTTGGTTATACTTAACCTACTTTTGGTTATACTGAACCTACTTTTGGTTATACTTAACCTACTTTTGGTTATACTTAACCTACTTTTGGTTATACTTAACCTACTTTTGGTTATACTGAACCTACCTTTGGTTATACTTAACCTACTTTTGGTTATACTTAACCTACTTTTGGTTATACTTAACCTACTTTTGGTTATACTGAACCTACTTTTGGTTATAAGATGATGATGTAACGACTTTTTCCACTTAAGGGTAATCTAATTCAAAGTAAATGTATTTTGTTTACAAACATATAGGTAAACAAATTATCCATATAAAAAAATAGTTTTGAAAAGGCATCTTTTGAGGTAAAGTGATCTTTACAGCGTTGACTGTAAGGGTCAAATTGTGCTTCATAGTAAGCTTAACTTCAGCTTTAGTGCAGCTTTAGTTTGGTGCTGAATCCGGTGGTCTGTGTATAATGTATACACACAGTGTATACATTATACATGCTGGGGTTAAGGTTTTCACACCCCTACACCTCTCTACACATTACCCTACACACCTCTCACTAGCACATAATCTGCCATCAGCTACACTTTACATTACGGGATCACCATAGCCCGTGCTACATGGACATTTCGTTCTGAGTAGCTAAATCCAAAACAATAATAACATACACTTTACATGGGTAAAGTGTACTTTACACTTTGATGTATTCATCCCAAGTGGGAGATGCTGAAGCCTTTGTCTTCACAACAAATAAATCTATTATGGTACAGCTTTCAATGTTATATATTGATTTATTACTCAATATTAAGTTTCATAAAGAAATTCATCCATAAATTGTTTCCTAAATTGGAATTTTGCACTCACAACTCAAACAA